TCAAGCAGTTTCTGGTTGCTTGGGGCTCCCCCTTGTGGCACATCCTAGGAATTGCGTGTGAACCCGTCCCCACTGAAGGCAAACTACTGAACTGATTGTGCACATCTTTATTTACCTTATCATTCTCCCTGAGTCTACTTTTAAACTGCTCCTTAAGGCAAAGTTTATTTTTAAAGTTAACTTTAAAATTTAGACCCAGCCAGCGTGGCTCAGTGGTTGAGCATCGACCTATGAACCAGCAGGTCACGATTCGATTTCCATGCCAGGGTTGTGGGCTAGATCCCCAGTGTGGGACGTACAGGAGGCAGCCGCTCAATGATTCTCTCTCATCATTGATGTTTCTATCTCTCTTTCCCTCTCTCTTCCTCTCTGAAATCAATAAAAATATTTTTAAATGTATAAATAAAGTGAAATTTAGCATTTAACTATTGAGTTAAGGCTAGTGGATAGCGTTTTTATACTTGGAAGTCAATAGCAGATTGCAAATTTCTGTTTGCAACTTGATCTTTGTTTTCACAAGTGGGTACCAGTTCATCAAGACAGATATTTACCATGTAGCATATAGTCATTTCCAAATGACAAAACACTTTGTCTTTCCTTCTTTTCACTGGAGCCTCACAACAACCCAGTGATAAACTACACGATAGAGGACTAAGGCAGAAGTAGAACCTGTAGTATTTAGTATGGCCTTCACAACTGTTTCTTGCTGTTGTTTGTTTAGCAAGTCTTATATTAGAGCAGTGATGGCGAACCTTTTGAGCTCAGCGTGTCAGCATTTTGAAAAACCCTAACTTAACTCTGGTGCCTTGTCACATATAGAAATTTTTTGATATTTGCAACCATAGTAAAACAAAGACTTATATTTTTGATATTTATTTTATATATTTAAATGCCATTTAACAAAGAAAAATCAACCAAAAAAATGAGCTCGCGTGTTACCTCTGACACGCGTGTCATAGGTTCACCATCACTGTATTAGAGACACTTTCACAGTATTCCTGAGCCTCACTCCAAGCTTGTCTCATTTCCCAAGGACAGGCCTGGGGTCAGGTAAGGGTCAGAGACGGGTGCTGTGCCAATTATTTTCTGCATCAAAAAGTTCACCAGCAGAAAGTGGGGGAAGACAACTCGAGGGAAAAGGGTGACATCACTTGTACACACACTTGGCCCGGCAGTCCCCTTGGTTCTCATGTCTAAATAAGACTCTCACCCTTGGTGGGAGTTTGGGGGTTGAATTTGTGCATCGACAGAGTCAGTTTACTGTGGGGCTCAGTCAATTTAGTACCATGGGTATTCCAAGAAGATCACACTGATGTGGTAATGACTAATTTAATAGTAATAGAGATTTATAGCATGTTGGCCCCACCCCATAACAAAGAAACAGAATTTCCGGAGGATGAGGCCCAGAAATCAGGATTTTAAAAAGATTCCCAGGTGATTCTAATGTGCAGCCAAGGTTGAGAACCACTGGTCTAGAACTATAGTGTCACTTTTCTTTCCTGGGCTCATCAATGCTACAATTCTACCATTCATTCCAAAGACCCATTTTCAAAGGGGAAAATTCCATTTCAAATGAGGAATGCTATACTAAAATGCTCTGTGTGTTTGTGTGTGTGCTCACACGGGTGAGCTAACCCTTAAATTGCAGTGTGAAAAGAAGGTCCCAGTCTTGCTTTTTAAATTTAGTACTTCAATACTAGTATCCGTTCTCCATTTTGCTTTGGGTAATAAAGCAGCTTCCCCCAAACCATCCTGGCAGCCGGAGTCAGGAGAGACAGAATGTTCTCTTCTCCATATAAAATTAGAGAGAGAGGAAGAGAGAGAGAGACATCAATGTGCCATTGATCGGCTGCCTCTTGCACACCCCCTACCAGGGATTGATCCCGCAACTCGGACATGATGGGGAATTGAACCAGCACACCACACACACACACACACACACACACACACACACACACACACCGTGCATGGGACAATGCCCAACCAACTGAGCCACACTGGCCAGTGCTATGTACTGACTTTAATTGTGGTAAAATATAGGTACCATAAAGTATACCAGCTTAACCATTTTTAAGAGTACAATCAGTAGTGTTAAGTACGTTTACATTGTTGTGCAACTAATCTCCAAAACTTTTTCATCTTGCACAACTGAAACTCTATCCCCGTTAAACAACTCCTCATTTCCCCAGCCCCTAGGAACCATCGTTCCATTTTCTATCTCTATGAAGTTGAGTACTCTAAGTACCTCATGTAAGTGGAATGGTACAATATTTGTCCTTTTGTTACTGGCTTATTTCACTTAACACAATGTCCTCAAGGTTCACCCATGTTGTATCATGTGTCAGGATTTCTTTCCTTTGTAAGGTTGAGTAATATTCTACTGTATGTATAGACTACACTGTATTTATCCATTCACCCACTGATGGGCCCTATGTACTATTTTAGAGAAGGTTACATCATGATTTGTTGGGATGAAAAGCACTGAGTAGAGTGACATGTGCACTCTCTATGTTCCAACATTAAAAAGGAAGTTGCTGAAAGGCCTGAGTACAAAGACTTTTCTGCAAGAAGTGGATTGGTGAACAGGTAGAAATCTTTTAAAATTAGGTAGGATTCCAGACTTTAAATCCACTACCTTTAAGAATAGTCCAGACCAGTTCTACTCAAAGCACCAATATCAAGGTGTACATGGCGCTTACATCCAATATCTATATTCGAACAAGTTGGTATCCTAGTCTGTCTCTTGGCATAGTCACAAAATTTTACTCTTAGTTGTAAACCATGACTAGTTCAGATTTAAGGAATGGACTTGTTCAGATAACCTCTCTGGATACTTGGTCACCTACAGAAACTGTATGCAAAGACGCAGGACAGTAGAACACATGGGGTTGGTTTAGATATTCACCTCAGAGGCACTGGAGAGCTGGGATCGATACCAGCTTTCTTAGGTCTGAGTCTACTGCCTTCACATCACAGATAGAAATGAAGGCTAACAACATACACAGTTTAGTTATTTCACTTAAGGTCAGAGGAAAAGTAGAAATTGAAATTCAAAAAATGTTTGCTCAGTTTTAGATTGCCTACTCATTTGTATTCAATCATTAGCTTCCCAAAATATGCAGTGCTCAGTGTGATCTTTGTTTATACCACATACTACTGTCATCGCCATCAATGATTTACTGATTGGCCTTGAAAAAGCCATACAAGGTGTTCACTCATCAACCTCACTTTTATTCATTACATTTTTGGCTACACAGATCTTGCTGGGTCAGAAATACAACCATTCTGTTGACTGGTGGTCCTTTGGCGTCCTCCTCTATGAAATGCTAATTGGTCAGTCACCTTTCCACGGGCAAGATGAAGAAGAGCTCTTCCACTCCATCCGCATGGACAACCCCTTTTACCCCCGATGGCTGGAGAGGGAGGCTAAGGACCTTTTAGTGAAGGTAAGAAATGAAGTCAAGGTTAGTATTGGGTTTTCTGGTCAGTATTCCCATTCACTTCTAAGCTCGGATTTATACCTGGTAGAGTAAACAATAATTGTCTTGAACTGAATTTAAATGGGATGTTTACCATCTCTGTCTTAACTGAGGCACCAATGTGATGAACATTAGACAGCAATAAACCCTTATGTGCATAATTTACAAAAAGAAATGACCAGGAACCAGTTCCATAACTCTTGGTTGCCCTCACTTGGACATGTGATTAGTCCATTGAACAAGTACAATTTGTGGCTTAAAACTCAACTTTTTTCCTCCATAGTCCCTATTAAATCTATTCAGTACAGTCCATCTTCCCCCACTCCTGGTGAAAAACTTGGACAGGATGCATGACTTTTCTGCTCATTCTTAGGGAAAATACATAAAACACCACCTCAACTGAGAAATTAAAACTGTTCAGTCTAAGACACAAGTCCTCACATCACTATTAACCCCAAAGCAAAGACTTCTGCTCCCTCTCCTCTGCCCAAGTTCCTGACTGGCAGCACTCAGCTTTGGAGAAGGGCGAGTGGTCATAGTTGTGTGTCTTTGTTCTCTTCCTCTCCAGCTCTGGAGTTTCTATTCCAGACCATACCAGGTTAAAAGCAGGGAGAAAACTGAGGGATAATGAGGAGAAAGAACTATTCTTATATGGCTGGGGGCCTTGATGCTCTTCCAGTTTGGTAGGTTGTTAAAGCCAAGACTTCGGTGATGCGTTCTAGTGGGTTTTTGGAAATCCCTACCACTGGGGACATTTCTGGCTGAAGCTCTTGAAATGCAGGCTATTCAATGCATTCCACAGCCCAGCTCCTGTACCAAACCCTATTTCAGCAGCACTCCATCTCCCTGGGACTCTCACTGCTGGTGCCTGCCTAGCAGCTCTCAGGCAGACTAGCTCCCTACCATACCCCCTACCTGTGTCCACTGGAAATATGAATGCATTTTTCAACCTAAAACTTTAAGAGTGCAGGCTATCACCATCTTAGCAGCAATCTCCAGAATTCACCATCAACACAGGAATCAGACCCCCATCCATGATAGTCCAGGATCAATTAAGAATCAGTGTACAGCCCGGCCAGCACAGCTCAGTGGTTGAGAGTCGACCTATGAACCAGGAGGTCACAGTTGGATTCCTGGTCAAGGCATATGCCCAGGTTGTGGGCTGGGTCCCCAATATGGGGCATGCAGGAGGCAGCCAATCAATAATTCTCTCTCATCATTAATGTTTCTATCTCTCTCTCCCTCTCCCTTCTTCTCTGAAATCAATAAAAAATATTTTTTAAAAAAGAATGAACTACTATTGATATATAAAACAACTTGGATGGATTTCAAGGGCATTAAACTGACTGAAAAAAGCCAATCTCAAAAGTTTGCATACTATATCAGTCCATGTATGTAACATCCTTGAAAGGGCAACATTATAGAAATGGAAATCAGATTAGTGTTGGGGATAGTGGAGGCAGGGGATTGACTATAAAGGGATATCCCAAGGGAGAGCTTTGTGTTGACGGGACAGTTCGGTATCTTGTTTGCTGTGGTGGTTACCCAGATCTACACTTGTGATAAAATGACATAGAATTAGACATACTATACCACATTGCATCAATGTGTGTTTCCTAGTCTTGATATTGTGCTATAATCATGTAATATGCAAGCATTAGGGGAAACTAGGTGAAGGGTCCACAGAACATCTTTTTTTAACTATATTTTAACACCCTGTGAATCTATATATATATATATATATATATATACTTAATGTGACCCCCACAATTCATAAGTTTAAGCCCTAATCCCCCAGTATGATGGTTATAAGAGGTAGGTAATTAGGTATAGATTATACTATGGGGGTGGGACTTCCATGATGGCATTAATGCCCTTATAAAAGAAGGAAAGGAGATCTTCCCCTTTCAAGTGCATGCACCAAAGAAAGGTCATATTATCACACAGCAAGAAGGTGGCCTTCTATAAGTCAGGAAGAGAGCCCTTACCAGAACCTGACTATGCTGGCACCTTGATCTTGAACTTCCAGACTCCAGAATTATCCTATATAATAAAAGGCTAATATGCAAATCGACCAAACAGTAAAACAACTGGTCACTATGACACGCACTGACCACCAGGAGGCAGACTCTCAATGCAGGAGCTGCCCCTTGGTGGTCAGTGCACTCCCTCAGGGGAAGCGCTGCTCAGCCAGAAGCCAGGCTCACAGCTGGAGAGCACAGCGGTAGTGGTGGTGAGAGCCTCTCCCACCTCCGTGGCAGCACTAAGGATGTCCAACTGCCTGCTTAGGCCTAAGCCATCAGTTGGACATCCCCCAAAGGCTCCCAGACTGTGAGAAAGTGCAGGCCGGGCTAAGGGACCTCCCTGAATGTATGAATATTGTGCACCGGGCCTCTAGTGAGAAATAAATGTCTGTTGTTTAAACCACACAGTTTATAGCATTTTGTTATAGTAGTCCAGCCATACTAAGATACTGTAATTATTTCAAAATAAAAAGTTTAAAATCAAAATCTAAGGCTAAATGCCAGCAAATACAAAAAACATCTGCAGAGTTTCAGTAGCAAGAAAAAGATTTGCAGCTAGAGTAGAAAGTAAATGTGGTTTAATAAAGCAGAAACCAAGACAAGGATAAAGAAGGAAAGAAAAAGGACTGTTGTTGTAAGAGTATTTAAATCCATGTGTTAGAGTTTGGGCTTATTCTTTCCCACAGGAGTTAATGAGAATCCCACGCCCTTGCTCCATGGGGAAGGTAGCTCTTGCCCATCTTTTAACAATTGGGCTGACTTTTGCAAAAACCAAAGGTAATATTTCTGAGAAACTTCCTCTAGGGAGTTATGCCTAATGTTGTGAAACCCAGGAGCAGTAGGTCTTCTGGAAAAGCTGAACAAAGAAGCATCTAGTGGCATCTGTCACAGCGGCAGTGTCAGCACCAGACTCTATCCCCTTTAGCCCTCATAGCACATGAGTGCGTGTAACACGGGGAGCAACTGCACAAGGAGGGAGGCTGCACTCCATTAAGAACTGCAGCTGGGACGCTGCAGCACAGTGGACCATTGCCAAAGACATGCCTCTTTCTTCCCCATTTATTCATCCAGGATGTCCGGTCCATTTGTTTGGAAAAAATGGAAAACTAATTATCTCAAACAGAATGCCTCTCCCTTTTGTAAAAGATATATCTGAGGAGTGGACAAAGAGGAAGGGAAGATTCCAGTGACAGGTGCTAAGCACGGGATGGGCCATCCTTGGCAGCCCAGCACTGCTTTTTCGCCTAAATAGCTGAATTTAAACAAACTCTCACTACATCCTGGCCACTTATATAAACAGTGTGCTATTTTCTATCAATGTAAACCACCCTTTTGACAGCTTTTGTGAACAAAAGCAAGTATTACTACATGAACATTTATTCCCTCAATGCAAATTCCTTGCCACAGACACAGTCATCTTCAGGACCTGGGAGGAAGAGGAGGTGACTTATTGCAGGGCAGAAAAGATAGTAATTTATTCTTGTGTGCAAAACTAGAAAGAATTTTGACTCTTTTTTTACATTTTTTAAAAAATATTTTATTGATTTCAGAGAGGCAGGAAGAGGGAGAGAGAGATAGAAACATCAATGATGAAAGAGAAGCATTGATTAGCTGCCTCTTGCACGCTCCCTACCTTGACCTCCTGGTTCATTGATCAACACTTAACCACTGAGTCACACCAGCTGGGCAGAATTTTGAGTCTTGAAACTGGAGATCATATTATATTCTCATTATACATTTTATCTTTTAAAAAATTTTTTTTAATTTCACAGGTACATATAACAGGCTCATGATCCTCTTGGTACAAATGCCACATGTCACTAGAAAAATCTAATGGAAAACCTAGTATGTACACACTTGGCCTCCGGCAGTTACTTCTAACTTAATTCGCTGAAGCATTTAATTATAACAACATGAGCTAGTGTTCGCCCTTTTCTTGAGGCACTTGCATCCTCTCTCTAATCTTGTTTCATCAAAATGTCCTTAAGAAGTGGAGGTCAATAATTTATTAGATCATTTCAAGGGAAGATATATAAAGCCAAGTCACTTATTCCCTCTGCTTTTAAAAAATCAATCTGCTTTTCCATCTGGTGACTAACACTGGTATTTGAATCTACAGAAAAATATGTCTTATTGTGAACTTTGTGCCTTTTCTATAAGCTGTCCTACATGTTGAAAACAAGAGTCTAACACAGTGATGGCGAACCTATGACACCCGTGTCAGAGGTGACACGCAAACTCATTTTTTGGTTGATTTTTCTTTGTTAAACGGCATTTAAATATATAAAATAAATATCAAAAATATAAGTCTTTGTTTTACTATAGTTGCAAATATCAAAAAATTTCTATATGTGACACGGCACCAGAGTTAAGTTAGGGTTTTTCAAAATGCTGACACGCCGAGCTCAAAAGGTTTGCCATCACTGGTCTAACAGAAGAGGACTGAAGACACATAATTTGCAAATAAATAAAGTAGAAAGACAGCTTACTCACTTATTCAACAAGCATTTACTGACCATATACTTTGTGCATGGCACTGTGTTTGATTCTGTAAGAAATAGAAACATAAATGGTGTCTGCCCTCCAGAGCTTACACTCTAGTAGGAAAGATAGGCGTGTGTGTGTGTGTGTGTGTGTGTGTGTGTGTGTGTGTGTAATTCTCTAATGGAAGGAAGATATTCTGTGGAGTACACAGGAAGACTATCCAATACCAGAAGTAGGAATGGGCTGTTGATAATTTAGGCTCTATCACTGGCTGGATTTGTGATCTTGAGTTTTCTCACATACCAATATCTGCTTTTAGAATCTGTTTTTAAGATCAGGATATATAGCTAAGGCATCTAGCACAATGCCTGACTCTAATTAACCATATGACAATTGGATAATGACTTGAAAGGAGGGAAGACTCACCTCACTATAGTAGAGTGATCAATGGAAGCTTCACAAGAAGAGGGGTATAAGCTGAACCTGAAA